GGGGCACCGCCGCGCTTTGCGGCTCCGCCTTCTTGTTGCCGTGATTTCCGTTCTTGCCGAGCAGAGGTTCTGGGGTGTCAGGCTCAGCAGCTGTGGTTCACAGGTTCTGCCCTCACGGTGCCTGGCCTTAGTTGTCCACCGCATGTGGAGTCTTCTCCGACTAGGGATCGAACCCGTGTCCCTTGCATTGCAAGGTGAATACTTAACCAGGGAAGTCCCTGTTCACTGGTTTTTAATCTCTTTGGTTTATGGACTTCTTGTTTACACTCTTAAAATTATTTAGGACTGTAAAGAGCTTTTGTTTGTGTTTTGTCGACCTTTGAAATAAAAAATGAGAAAATTTGAATATATGATCATATATTCCACCATTCATCCACTTACCTCATCACATGTCATAGAGTTTCTGAAGAACTTCACTGTATATTCAGAGAATGAGTGGATATAACAATTAATGTGTTATTATTATTCAGATAGTTTTGACATTGCAGATACCCTAAGCAGAGAATCTCTGGACCAAACTTTAGAAGTTGCTTCTATAGTTAAAACACTTCAGTTTTGAATTTCTTTATTGTAAATAAGAGAAGCCTTTAGTTGAAGTAAAAATGTTATTTTATGTTGAGCGAACTCATATCTCTCAAATTCAGAGTTATTTTCCACAGTGAAATAAAGCAGTTTGACTTGTCATTCTTTGCGTTTAGTCTTAAATTAGAAGACCAAAATATGGAAAAAAGAATGGGTGGTATTGATTGTGGGAAGTGTGTGTGTGTGTGTGTGTGTGTGTGTGTGTGTGTGTGTGTGTGTGTGTGTATGTGTATGTGTGTGGTAGATGTGGTCTAGTCAAATGGAATCGAGGTCATACTAGAAGTGTGTTCTGGGGGATCATTTTGCTCTCTGTCTTTAGCCATAGGTTATGGTTCAGTGTATGGCTGTACTTCTATACCAGTAGTTTATAGAGGCCACAATTTAGTAAAGGAACTGTATTTTGAAGCGTTTCTTATATATGAGAGAATCTCATGATCTTTCTGAAGCCTCATGGAGGGTGTTTATATTAAGATTTCATCATTTTGTGTTGTTGCTACCACTAGTTGGATCTGAACTAGGTACTTGAATGTAATGGTTGAAGCTGTAAAATTTCATGTACAACTGTTTTCTTGCAATGGTAGTATTTGTAGCTTTAGGTATTAGATTCTGTCTTTTTAAAAAAATGAATGCAAATCTTGGTAATGTGTTTAGTTGTGACATTTTGGGCCTAAAGTAATTACATGACTTTTTTAAAAAAATGAAAGCTTATTCTGAACTATGAATTATCACCGATTTGTCTTTCAGCATCAATTCTTCTTAAAAATGAAGCATATCTATGAATTCCATAGGTTACCTTATAGAAAAAAAACTGTTAGCGTACATATAAAAGTTACATGTCAGTTTCTGAAAAAAACTTCTTTTGTATTAAAATGCCCCACAAAATACCAACATTTTATTCCTTAAAGTACTATTTAAACATAGTAGAGCATTTAAATTAAAATATTTCTTAATGGTTCAGTTGGGTTTAAGGGTTTGATGAGGTAAATTATTATCTTAATTGCAGTTGTTTAGTTTGAAGAAAATTTTCAGACTTTGTATGTAGGAATTATATTTTGCAAGCATCTTAATTTTTTCAACACTTTTCTCATCCTAAACAATGATAAGCTAATTTACTTTTTAAGAAGGGTTAATTTGAAAGTGGTTATTTTCTCAGGCTAACTCATTTTGGGAGGCTTCTAAGATTAGAAGCTTGATTAAGGTCAGGAAGCAGTATGTGTTTCCAACTTTTAATTTTGGAGTTTTGTTTGAAATGGTTATTCCATAAACCATAGGTGAATCCTCTATCCACCTTTTTGAGAGAAATTGCTCTTCAGTTAACAATGGATTGATGTGTTCATGAAAGTTATTTTTGACTGCTGATGACTTTAGAGTCATATAGGGATAATCATTATCCTGTCTTTGTCTCTATTTTAGTGTAAATTTTGTTTTTCCTGGGATGTGCTTGTTTAGTTACATTGACATCTTATTTTCAGCCAAGTTACCCTTGACCAACTGCTTTATTGATTGGTCCAAATTTGTGGCATGTTTTTCAGAAAGACTTATGATGGGTTGGTGCAAAGAAATGTCATATTCCAATCACGACATGAGAAATGGTTGGATTCCCTGTCCTACTAGGAGGTATTCTTAAAATTAGTTATCCTGTTATATCAATATTATTTCTACCACTGAGAATGAGAAATACCTGGATTTTGTTATTAGCAGACTTAAAAACATGATAGATAATTGTAGATCCATAAAATTATCTTTCTAGAACTGATGTACCAAAGATTTTTGGGTCCCAAATTTTTTATGGTTCTCCTAAATAGAAAAATAGTGTCTCTTAGTTATTAACCCACTCCCATTTATACTGATATCTAATACATATTTTCCAGGAATAATGCAATTTTATTATTTATAATTCATTCAAGAATAAGTGTTATTCTCCAGTGTTTGTCTGTTTTCTTGGGGTTGGATCGATGGTAATGCAACTGAAAATACAAAACTTACTACAACTAATTTCCATTGCATTCACATAGTAGTTAGTTAATACAGTGTTTACATTTCTGCCTGTTGGAATTGTAACTTAAAGTGCTGCATATGGAAGATGTAAGAATTTTGCAGCATGAACAAGCTGTAGTAATTGTGTGCTAAAAGAAATTTAGTAAAATTGCTGGCTTAGATTTGTTTTGCAATTCAAGTGATGCCAACAGTTTTCCATGAAAAGAACTGTTTTGTTCTTAAAATTTCCTGTATTAATTTGAATTTTTAAAGCTCTTAAACTCCTCATAGATTTTTATTGCTTAATTTTTCTATATAATTATGTGCCCCCTCCATTTTAAGACAGGGTAATAGAAAACTGAGCAACAAAGCCAAAGGTCACAGAATTAATAACTGGTGGAAATAATAGAATTCAAAGATCCCTGAGTTTTATCTGTTTCTTTTCTTAAAATCAGTAGACAAAAATGCAGTAAAGAGCTAAAATTAAAATGCTATAGTGGTTACTCCAGGAATCAATTTCATTTCAAAGGAAAAAAACCTTAGTAGATTGATTACTTTTTGTTATGTTCATGTATATATATACATTTTACTTTCTATGATCTGGCTATAGAGTATATTTTAAAGTACGAACATTTAAGCATATATACATATTCTTTAATACTCATTTTATTTTACTAACTACCATCTTTTTTGTAAGTCATTTTGAGTCATCAGTTTTTTGGAACTAGCGGAATTTTACCCTTATATATGTAAAGCAATTGCATATAGACCTTCTTTATAAAAATTTGAGGTAAGGGAAATGTAGCCAGAACTACTCATCTTTATTTTCCCCTCTCTCTTTGTTGCCTGTTTTTGTGTAACAGAGGCTAAGTGAGTTATTTTATACTAATGAATCATTTTTAGGTCTAGGAGCTGCCCTCTAGGTTTTCTCAAATTGCTACCATAGCAAAATAAAACTAAACAAAATTTCATAGAATTAATACATCTCTTCTGTATATAGAGCACTGTTAAACATACTTTACAGGGAAGAAAAGAACTCCATATGGAGATAATTAAGTAGTATAAAAGAAACAGCTCTTTTATAGTTATTAATTTTTTAACAACTATAATACAGTAGATCATTTGGTCCACACATTTAATTAAAACCATTACCTTTCTTTTTGGAAGCATTTATTATACAGTTCCAAAATTGTTCATGAAAACAAAATCATGAATCTACTTGTCTCTAAATTGGGGCATTGAACAAGCAGGGTAAAGAGAGTATGTCTTTTTATAAAGAATCCTTCATTTTAGATTGGAATATGTTTTAATTTTCAAATGAATTGAAATTTAATTTGCTGTAATTTTTTTCATCAAATAGAATTGTATCAATTGAGTGAAACTTTGAAACTTATTTAAGTCCCTAAAAGTTTTTTGAATCAGATGTCTAAACACTAAATCATTTAAACAGTAGCACAACCAATAAGTCATTTAAAATGTATTTTAAAAATTAAAAACGAGACACTGATACATCTCTTTGTGGCTTTAAAAATTCTACTTTAAAAATTTTAAATTCTACTTTAAAAATTATACTAACTCAAAATGTAATCAGAATTCTTTGTGAGAATGGACACATTCCTTGTGAGCCTTAAGAAATTCATTTTATGAAACTTTAAATGTAGGGGGTAAATTTGGACGTTTAGGTTCATTTACCCATCACTTCAGATGTTCTGGGAAGAAATATCTAATGATTTTTCCATGACATCTACCCTTTTTTTCAGATTCTTGACTGACATTTTATCGTGTTATTGTGTTCCACGCTATTTAGTTCCTCCTGGATTCTTCCGAATTTCACATGCACTGCTGCAATCAGCTCCTGCAGAGCGGATAACATACCTAGGGACCCAGGTCTTCCTGGACAAGCAGCCAGTCATGAACAGGGGCAGACTTGGCCTTAAAGTTTAATTCTGATTTTTTTTTTTTTATTTCAAAGTATAGATATTCATTTTATTTATTAAAAAGTAAAACCCAGTAAGTGTACTGTAGGGAATGTTTATCTTACAAAGGAAGGGTTATGTAAAGATGAGCCCACCTGCTGGTTTTACTTTCCTTTTCCAGTAATGTTTATATTGTAACTTAAACATTTTTCTGGCTCTAAAAATTAGGTATGTCTTTGTTTTCTAGTGCATATCTCTGTTATGTAAACCTGCTTGTGTACATATGAAGAAAACCGATTTGAAACATTTCTGTTTATGCACAAAGTGTACCTTAGTGGTGTCTTTGGCAGAGGGTAAGAACCTCACCTTTACAAGGGAAGTAGGAATGATGGGTTTGCTTACAGAGCTTTAAATTATGTAGCTGGAAATTGGGAGTTTAGTCTGTATGTCAGAAAGATACAGCCAACTCTGCCATCAGTTTAAAAGAAAAATAAGATTTTGGTGAAATCTTGTCTAAGTGGCTTTAACACTATTAGAGAATTTAAAAAACTGTTACAATAAATCAGACTGTTTTAGAATAGCAACATAAAGTTGGGGTTACTGTTTCAGATGTATATTCATGTAAAAATTAGGTTTCAGTATTGGCACTTAGGTGATGAAAATATGGTATATTTGTATTTTAATGAAGTACTGGCACTATATAAAACGTTTATTTTTAAATCAGTGAGCCAGAATTTCATTGTGGATTTGGAAAAAGAGATTGTCATTTTATAAACTGCAAGAATAAATATATGTGTTTTAAATACCAAAGTATTCAGTTTTACATTCTTACTTCATTTTGAAAACATGTAAGAACTAAATTAGACTTTTAATTAGTGGTTAATAGCAGTGAATAAATAAACCTGTCTAAAAATTAAAGAATGACTGTAGAATAAGACTTCTGACACTTTAAATTTCTGTGTGAGGAAGATAGTATGTTATCAAGGAACATAGTGTATTTTGTGTTGATCATTGCTGTTTTAAAAATGTATATGTTCTATGATTACATTGTTTCCCATACCTCAGACTGAGTTTGAGTTGATGTCTTCTTAACATGATTGGGTTAGTAACCAGTGGCATTTAATTTTTGTAATGCAAAAACTTAAGGCTTTAGGTGTTCCCAATAAAACTTTTATATAAGCCTCTTGAAATTTTTTTGTTTAGATTTTAGTTTAAACCCATTTTTATCCTGCTTTATTGCACTCCCTTTCACTAGTAGAGTAGCCACACCCCCCTCCTTTTTTAAATGCAGTTTATACAAAATAATTTTTCTTATTGTCATCTAGTCTTTTTTTTTTTTGACATTTAGAAACCAAATACCATATGCCTTTTCCTACCTTTGTATTAAGAAGCAAGAAGACTATTACATGAATAGATTAAATTTAGGGCATTTCCTATCATATATGCTATATTATTGCACAATTTCTATAGTACTTTGTGTTTCTCCCAAAGAAGAAAAGAAATTTAGTTATGTAACATAAATTAAATTTGTATAAACCCCACTTGGGCATTTATGGTATTGCAAAAGTGAAATTGTTTCATCATGGTTCAAATAAGAAGTAACAATATTTCTTTTGGTGAGAATAGCTTACATTTAGAATCTGCCAGAAAATTGAGTCTTAAGCTGTTTTTACAAATAAAGAATATAAAGCTGTATAGAAACCTGAATTTTAAAAAATAGGCTTATTCTATTTTAGCCAAATATCTTAGTTTTTTCTTAGTTTTAAAAACTTTCTAGAAAAGGATAGAATATAAGCATTATACTTAATAAGAATTCTAAAGCATGATTTAAGCTGGTATAAAATGACTTTAGTTATTTCTTAAGTTATCGTGAATACTGGCTAAATTTAAAAGTTTATTTCTGTTGTGTAAAATTTTACAGTATTGAAAGTTACTTTTTTAAAAGAAATGTTCCAGCAACATTTAAAAAACTTTTAACAAAGTCTTCTGTGAATGAATGGCAATCAGTATCAGTTTTAAAATTCTTTTGCAGTGTAACCAAAGTAATTTTCTTCTGCACAGTACAACATTTCAAATAAAGTTTATACATTGGATTTTTTGACGTTTGAGTTTTAAAATGGCCACGTAGTCTTAAACTGATTTCATTGTGTTGGATTCTTTACTATTTGAGCCACCAGGGGAGCCCATTTGGAAATGCCTTGGGGAACATTTATTCTCTTTATAAATGGAGATTGAGCACCACCTGTTGGTCAAACTAATGTATTTTAATTTGTGAATTCAGCAAAAATGTTTTTGTTTTAATCGAATGATTGCATTCCTTAACTGCTGATGTCTTACATATTATATAATGCTGTCATTGTATAGATTTATGTCTTAGAGTTATATTCATGAAATTCACCAGAATGCCTTATTATAGATTATAAAATAATGCACCTTTGCCACCTTTACTATTTAAGTTTTCATCTCTTTGCTCTTTGCCACTGAATTAGAAAGCTCCCCTTTTTTAAAGAAGTGAGTGGTCTCAAGGCTGTGTTTATTTATGAAGTTTTTTAAAGTTTTTTTAAGATGATTATTTTATGTGCCTCATGTGGAAATTATAATGAGAAAGTCAGTTAGACAATTCCTATGTTATTACCTATGTCTTGGCTTCCCAGGTGGTTCAGTGGTAAAGAATCTACAAGAGACCAGGGTTTGATCCCTGGGTCAGGATGATCCCCAGGAGGAGAATATGGCAACCCACTCCAGTGTTTTTGCCTGAAAAATCCCCTTAAAAGAGGAGCCTGGCAGAAAGAGTCAGACATGATTGAGCATGTACCTGTGTGTTAATTTTTAAGAAAATGAAATCATCTTTTAATTGTTTTTCTTATTTAATAACAAGTTGAAGTTTAAAAACAATGAATTCTTGTATTGAAAACAGCAATTACTAATTTTATTTCAGTTTTATACCTTTTATAATTTAGATGATTGAATGTTTTATTTCATTTGAAATGGATGCTTATAACTAGTAAACATTAATAAAGCAAATTGATTTTAATAGTTATTAATGTTAATTTTAATATGTATTAATACAAAATTAAGAAAATAAAGTATTATTCAGATCAAAGCAGAAAATGTCAAAAGTGACATTTGATACTCAAAGGTATTAAAAATATATTTTCATTTAGACTAAGTATAGAAGGCAGCTGGCGTACTTCTACTACTGACATCAAAGTGAGTGCTACAGCTGTATCAAAGTCTTAACCTTCATACATTTATAATGTACAGTAAATAAATCAGTGCTTTTGGGTTTTAGGGAGGTTGATCTTTTTATTTTAGGTCATACTTTGTAAGAAGAAATTATTCCATACTTAGTATTAGATGTATTCATAGCAAGAAAGTGGTATAAATAAGGGTCAAAGAAAATAAGTTTCAGGAACTTGGCATTAGTATTTCATATATGGTAACAGAAAGCAGCTCATTTTTTTAAAATATGAAAATCAAGACTTGTAGTGTCAGCTATATTGTTTGAAATCATGAATTATACCCCAGTACCCTTCAATTTCTGTTGCTTTTTTTCTGTATCCATTTAATGTTGTCACTTGTTAAGTCTTTCAGTGCAGAAATTTCAGACTTGATCTTGTCTCTTATCTTTCCCATCAAATTCAGTTTCTCTTATTTTGAAAATGACTCTTCATTCCTTCTTCTCTTTATTTTCTTTCTGAAAATATACTCTACTCTAGAAGGTTTCTAACTAATGTCATTGTCTTCTGTCCCTTTTCTTTTCCACCTGTCTTCAGTAACATTGAAGAGTATTTTTGCTTTTTTTCTTTTTAAACTGAATCACTTGGCTGGACAGAGTAAAGAGCCTTCTTCCACTCTCAGTTGCTTACACAGTTGAACCTAATGGAATAGCATTCCTGGGACCTTAGCATTTGTTTCTAATGCAGCTTTCCAGGGTTTCCCCTTTGCATTCCCACCCTTTGAAACCACATGTCACCTGCTTTGTGAAGAGTCACTTTGTTGTTCTTGTTCAGTCACTAAGTTGTGTCAAACTCTTTGCAACCCCATGGACTGCAGCACGCCAGACTTTCCTGTCCTGCACTATCTCCTGAAGCTTGCTCAAACCCATATCCATTGAGTCAGTGATGCCATCCAACCATCTCATCCTCTGTTGCCCCCTTCTCCTCCTGCCCTCAATCTTTCCTTGCATCAGGGTCTTTTTCCAATGAGGTAGCTCTTCGCATCAGGTGGCCAAAGTATTGGAGCTTCAGCTTCAACATCAGTCCTTCCAATGAATATTTCAGTGAATATTCAGGGTTGCTTTCCTGTAGGTTTGATCTTGCAGTCCAGGGGGCTGTCACGAGT